AACATTTTATAAAGATAATAATTAAGTATTTTGTTAGAACTCAATGATTATCCTAATTATATTTTAGATTTTTTATATTTAAAATAAGATGTTTATCCTGTATTTGATTGTGTTTATCTGCATTTAGTTACACGGATTCAGTTATGGGATGAAATCAGATAGGGATGAACGGGTTTAAGAGTTTTTAAGAGTTTTAGCCAAATGCATTATAATATAGTATAGATATAATTTTAAATTAAATAAATAAATATTCCAATAAATACAAAGTTTATCTTATTTTAAGATTTCTAAATTCATAAGAATTAAGGGATTTGGTTGCATTGGGCAATAAATTGGGTTGTATATATCAATATCCAACACTAGCGGTGGAGGATAAGACACCCGAGGAAGCATGGTACGGAGTCAAACCTTCTATAGAGCATTTTAAGGTATCTGGTTGCATTGGGCATGTGCACATACCATATATTAAGAGGGAGAAACTTGAAAACAAGAGCTTCAAATGCGTAGTCTTTGGCGTCAACAAGCAATCTAAGGAATACTGATTGTTTGATCCAGACTTAAACAAAATCGTTATAAGCAGAGATGTTGTGTTCGAAGAAGAAGAGACGTTGAACTGGGAGAAATCGGCTAATGAAGTTCATCGTGATATTCTTGAACTGAGAGATGAGGAAGAAGAGAACAACAATGAAGAAGATATCGAAGTTGGAAGGGAAAAGCAAGTTGAGCAAGAACGAGATGTTGAAATTACCTGTCCATGCCCTTTTTCAAGTAATATAGAAGCTGAAGTTGTTGGTCTAGACTCCTATTTCGGAAATAAAGAGGTTAAAGGTTCTTGTGCGGTTCAAGGGAAGACACGTAAAGAGCTCATGTGGATGAAAAACTGCACTAGTAGAAAGGACCGCCCGAGGAGGAAGAGATGCAACAATTTGTTATGTTCTCTTCAACTAGTGATCCAATTAACTTTGAGGAAGCCGTCAGGTATTCTACGTGGAGAGATGCTACATACATGGAAACCAAAGCCAATGAACGCAATGGAACCTGGGAGTTGACAAACTTGCCAAAAGGGGCGAGGAAGATAGGAGTAAAATGGGCATGTAAGACAAAATTGAATAAGAAAGGAGAGGTAGACAAATGCAAAGCCCAAATTGTAGCAAAGGAATCCATTCATCAAGTTGGAAATCATTACAACGAGGTATTTGCTCTTGTTGCTTGTTGGGATACCATTAAAATTATTCTTTTTATAGCTCATAAAGAATGGAGCATGTACTAACTCGATGTAAAGAGTGCGGTTTCTACGTAGAGATCTAAATGAAGATGTTTACATTTCCCAACCTCAAGGATATGTGGTAAAAGGTGCATAGAAAAGTTTATAAGTTGAAAAAGACCTTGTGTGGCCTAAAACAAGCTCCCCGAGCTTGGTTCTGCAAAATAGAATCTTACTTTGTCAAAGCAGGGTTCGAAAGATGCTTGAGTGAACACACATTGTTCACAAAGAATGGTGAAGGGGGCATAATTCTTATAGTCAGCTTATACATGGAAGACCTCATTTTCACTAAGAATGATAAGAATTCAAAAGTTCTATGAAGCAAGGATTCGACATGTTAGACCTTGGAAGAACGGAGTAATTCCTTAGAGTGGTAGTGGTTCAAAGCTCAAAGGGAATTTTCACAACTCAAAAAAGGTACACAAACAGGGTGTCAGAAAGTTTTGGAATGAAACAATGTAATTCAATGAAAAATCCTATATTTTGAGCAACATACTTATGAAAGATAAAAAAAAAAAAAGGTACAAAAGTCGATGCCACCGCTTACAAGCAAATGGTGGGCAGTCTTACGTACTTGATTGCCACGGGACCAGATCTCATGTATGTTGTAATTTTGATTAGTAGGTGCATGGAGAAACCTACAGAGCTAAATCAACAAGTGATAAAGAGGATCTTCCAATCTTGAAGCTTTGTATTAAACAAACATAACATTTGGAAATATGGATTAATTACATCTTAGAGAAGAAAATAAAAAAATAATATAGCATATTAAACACAAGATTCAAACAAGTTGATTATAAATAAAAATGTATAGAATAGTATTAATGTATGATCATGTGACACCCACCCTCTAATCCAATATCGTGCTTAGATTCCCCAAAATGAACAAGACTTGTAAGATAATTGAAGTTTAATAATACCCATACTCCATAACATGGATGGTGAAGTATACCAAAATCCAAATCATATTCTCCACATACCCTCTTGTCACGCGACATCACGTGTTCCCCCCTCCTTTTTTCATCTCTATTTTTTTATTTCATTATTTTAACCATCCTATTCAATAACCAATAATCGAATCTTCACCTAATTTAAATACTCTCATATAAACGTTATTGTTTACTCTTCTAAAATCTGATTCTATATATTTGGAAAAATAATTATTTTTAGGGTTGGTTTCATCTCCTACTCATTTTCTCTCCAAGTTTACCAAAATAGTCATGTATGCAATTGCGGACCCAACAAAAAGACAAAAAAAAATGGTTAAATTTGAGGACCTAAGGTTATTTTGATAAACCTTGTAAAGAAGTGTCTATATGATTTATTTTGTAAAAAATGATTAAATATAAAAGGATATGGTGATTATAATTATAAAAAAGGGGTGGGATGTAATTGTAAGAAGCTTTTGTCTGATTACATGAACTTTCAAGTGGATTAGCAGATCTGGTCGCATGGAAGCTTTGTAAAGGACGGTTTTTAACTGTCTCTAGATGTAGATCTAGATCCAATGTGCCACGTTTTACAACCCACCTCATCACCTAACTATTTACCCATTGCCTTTTTCTAGCTCTAAGTTCTCAACATTCTTTTCCGAAACGTCTTCGAGTTTTGGTAACAAAGGTGATGTATTACAAGACCGTAACGTTTGATTTGACATTTTTATGCTCTAGATTCACCCGTTATAGAAGACGACTGTGGCTCAAAGAATCAAAGTTTGAGGAGAAGGGTTGTACCCATTTTGGAATAATGGTAAAGAGAAGATTGTGTATGTACGTGTTGAAAGGGTATGAAAAACATAAAAAAGGGGGGGGGGGGGGGTCACATGTGATGGTGATAAAAGTGAGGTACTACTACTATATAATACTCATTGCCACTTCCATTGTTTAATCGACTCAGATCTCTGCCTCTAAAGCCAAGTTAAACTACAATGGACCCACTTCATTTCATGCATTTGGGACTTGTACCCTACACTTCTTAGTCGTATCCTTTTATGATTCTGACACCTAATTGCTCAATCTCATCTACATAACCAGTAACATGCATAGATACCAAAGGGTATTCGGCCTTACGGTATCGTAGTCGTTGGTCTCCTAAAAAGTCAAGAGTTCAAACCTCACCAACAATGAAAAGTGAGGAGGGTGTGTGAATTTATTTGTTGCAACATTATCCCTAAAAAGAACATCATGGCCTAGCTGTCCTTGGATCCGCACATTCTGGGTCTCTCACTATGACCTCCTTTTCGTTATTTTATAACACTAAAAAGAACCACCCCACTAATAAGCCCACAACTCCGCAACACAAATGATTTGGTTTCTCTCGTATTGTTCCTCCCTAGGCTCATCCCCTTCCTTCTTACCCTGCCTTTCATCGGAGTTTGCAACTAATTAGGATTTTTGTAATGCCTCTCTTTCAACTTCCATGCTCCCTCTTTCTACTCCTCACCTTGTTGCTTTTAGTCCCATCTTGTTTCTCCCTCACCTCACAAGGTCAAGCTCTTCTTTCATGGAGGAAAAGCTTAAAAGGCCCGAATTTGCAGGCTTTGGATAACTGGGATTCAACCAATGAAACCCCCTGTGCCTGGTTTGGTATCACTTGTGACGTTAACAAGAATGTTGTTGAGTTGAGTTTGAGTTATGTGGACTTACTTGGAACCATTCCTTCTGATTTTAGCTCCTTGTTGACCCTTAAAAAGCTTCTTCTATCGGGAACGAATCTCACTGGTTCCATCCCCAAGGCAATTGGGTCTCTTCGGGACCTCACTTACTTGGATTTGAGTGACAATGGGTTAACCGGCGAAATCCCTAAAGAGCTCTGTGATCTCCAGAAGCTTGTGGAGCTTTACATCAACACAAACAAGCTCCAAGGTTCAATTCCTGTAGAAATTGGGAACCTTAAGAACCTCGTTGTGTTGACGTGCTATGATAATCAACTGGGTGGTAGCATTCCCACTACCATCGGGGAACTCAAGAATCTTCAGGTGATAAGAGCTGGTGGAAACAAGAACATTGAAGGTCCATTGCCTGATGAAATCGGCAATTGTACTGGTTTAGTGATGTTGGGTGTTGCAGAAACGAGCTTATCAGGTTTTCTCCCTCCAACAATTGGTTATCTAAAGAAACTTCAGACTCTTGCCATTTACACCACCTTACTTTCCGGCCAAATTCCGGCAGAGCTTGGCGACTGCACCGACCTCCAGAACATCTACTTGTACGAGAACTCACTTTCGGGTTCAGTCCCCAGCACATTGGGCAATCTGAAAAACCTCAAGAATCTGTTGCTGTGGCAGAACAATTTGGTTGGAATTATTCCGCCGGAGCTCGGAAACTGCTTGCAACTTGTTCTGATTGACATTTCGATGAATACGTTGACTGGAGTCATTCCGGTGACATTTGGGAACCTGAGTTCGTTGCAGGAACTTCAGTTGAGCGTCAATCAGATCTCAGGTTCCATACCGACTCAGCTTGGAAACTGCACCAGTCTCACTCACATCGAACTCGACAACAATCAAATTACTGGTACCATTCCTTCTGAAATCGGAAACTTTGAAAACCTTACTCTGTTGTTCCTGTGGCAGAATCATCTTGAAGGTGCAATACCTAGTTCCATATCATCTTGTCAAAATCTCGAAGCAATTGATTTCTCGCAGAATTCATTGACAGGGCCAATCCCGAAAGGTCTGTTCAATTTGCAGAATCTGAACAAGTTATTACTGTTAGCAAACGATTTGTCTGGCCAAATACCGCCGGAGATCGGGAATTGCTCGTCATTAATCCGATTTCGAGCCAACGACAATCACCTGATTGGATCCATTCCACCACAAATTGGCAAGTTGAAGAATTTAAATTTCCTTGATCTCGGATCGAATAGGTTGACCGGAGTCATACCACCGGAGATATCTGGTTGCCAGAACTTGACGTTTCTAGACTTGCATTTCAATTCAATCTCCGGAAGCTTACCGGCGAGTATAAACAAGATTGTATCACTCCAGCTCGTTGACGTCTCTGAAAATCAAATCGAAGGTACGTTGAGTCCTAGTATCGGGTTGCTGATTTCGTTGAACAAACTCGTCCTCCGTAGGAACCGGTTGTCTGGACCAATACCATCGGAAATAGGTTCCTGCATGAACCTTCAGTTACTCGATCTGAGCAGCAACCAGTTGTCCGGTGAGATTCCAGCGAATTTAGGCAAACTTCCAGCGTTGGAGATTGCTCTCAATCTCAGCTGTAACAAACTCTCCGGCAAGATACCATCGGAGTTTGATGCCTTAGATAAGCTGGGAGTTCTAGATCTCTCTTACAACCAACTTTCTGGCGACCTACAAAATCTCGTCGACCTTGAAAATCTCGTGGCTCTTAATATCTCTCACAACGATTTCAAAGGTCACGTCCCGGACACCCCCTTCTTCTCCAAACTACCTCTAAGCGTCTTATCCAACAACCCTTCCCTGTGTTTCGCCGGCAACGAGTGCACCGCCGATAAAGGCAGCGCCTCCAGGCGCAGCAAGAGTGCCAAGGTGGCGATGGTGGTGCTGATCGGCGTCGCCATTGTTCTCTTCCTCTCTGCTTTCTACATCATACTCGCCGGAAAGATTCGTTCTCGGGGGCGTGATTTAGATGATGCTGACGTGGAAATGGGCCCACCATGGGAAATCACTTTATACCAAAAACTCGACTTGTCAATTGCTGATATGGCAAAATACCTGACACCTGATAATGTGGTGGGGCGAGGTCGCTCGGGCGTGGTTTACCGTGCTAATATTCCCTCCGGGTTCCCAATCGCCGTAAAAAGATTCCAGTTATCGGAGAATTACTCGGCCGATGCATTCTCATCGGAAATTGCAACTCTTGCACGCATCCGCCACCGGAATATTGTCCGTTTGCTGGGTTGGGCTGCCAACGGGAAAAACAAACTGTTGCTTTATGACTTTTTGCCTAATGGCACACTCGGCACCTTGTTACACGACGGCAGCGTCGAAGTGGTGGAGTGGGAAACCAGGTTTAAGATAGCTTTGGGGGTGGCGGAGGGCTTAGCGTACTTACACCACGACTGTGTGCCGCCGATCCTCCACCGTGATGTAAAGGTGGAAAACATATTGTTGGGTGATCGGAACGATGCTTGTTTGGCAGACTTTGGGCTTGCAAGATTGGTGGAAGACGACAACAACTCTTATTCGGCAAAACCTCAATTTGCCGGCTCCTATGGTTATATGGCTCCAGGTAAACCGATTATCTTATCGTATCGTGTGGGATATACTGATTTTGTTCGGTTTGCTTTGCTTTTAGTAGTTAGTGTGTTTTATTGGATATATATAACGATTATTCGTGTTTGCAGAATACGCTAGCATGTTGAAAATTACGGAAAAGAGTGATGTTTTTAGCTATGGAGTGGTGTTGTTAGAGATCATAACCGGGAAAATGCCGGTGGACCAGTCGTTTTCCGAAGGACAACACGTCATCCAATGGGTTCGTGATCATCTCAAGAGCAAGAAAGATCCGGTAGACATTATAGATCGAAAGCTACATGGAAACCCGGACTCACAAATTCAAGAAATGCTGCAAGCTCTTGGCATATCCCTCCTATGTACCAGTAATCGTCCTGAAGATCGGCCAACGATGAAAGATGTGGTGGCGTTATTACGAGAGATCAGACACGAGCCCTCAACTACCAACGAATCCCATAAAGAGACCAACAAATCCCGAAATGATTCAAGTGTTCCCGGGTTGTATTCATCGTCATCAGTAACCCCAGCTCAACTACTCATCAAGGGTTCATCGAATTGCTCCCTTGCATACTCATCGTGATCTCGATTCATATGAAAAATCGAAACAATAAGATTTTAGGTTTAGTTGATATATTAGCTTCGTAAAAATGTTAAAAAGAAGTGTGTTTTTTCTTATTAACTTTTTTTTAGAAATTGGAATATATACAAGATGAGAAGGGATTGAGGGCCATTCCTCAATTAAATTCCTTAATTTCTTCGATACAATTGCTATTTAAAACTCTTTTTTATTAATTTAAAATATCGATAATTGCGAAAACAAAATAATGAAAAGAAAACGTTAGATATTTATTAGAATCGTATTTATTATTATATTATATATTATTGTGGATTGATATAATTTAAAAGGAAAAATGTTTCGTGTAATTGACCTTTATATGTCTCTATCGTGGGACTAGTGATGTCTTGATTGAAATAGGACTCGGTGACGATAATGTACATGATTACAAGTTAAATCATTGATCGTCAACTGGTTTTTGAGTTGTAACATAATAGTACCAAAACAACTTTATTTAAACAACTATAACTTTTGAATTGGGCAGAATCATTTTGCCGACACCCAATCAATAAAAAACATATCAATAATCTATCTTTCGAGGCTAAGTGTGGACCTATTAAGGATTGAGTGAGCTCCTATATACCCGCTTGATTTTAAAGAGTGCTCTCAGATATTTTAAAACCAAATTTATAACAGATATTAAACATGGTGGGATGATTTAGATACTTAGATTAGATCGTGAGATACATCATAGAATTGAACTCACAACCTCAAATATATTTATAGACATAACTACCACTCTACCAGGATCGAGACGAAAGAACTCCTTTTCAATCGTTATATCAAAACTCAAATTGGAGAAGAATATGGTCCTTTCCAATGGAGTTGGTCTTATGAGTTTCTTTTAGCAGAGGCTATTAAATCGGTAGGGGAATTAAAAAAAAATAATACTATGATGGTTCCGTTGCTTTATATATTTATTATTTTTCCGAAACTAAATTTTGAAGTGTTCTTCAAAAGATCATCAATATTATTTTTCCTCCCAAAACTTTGTACTTCTTACTGTCTATTATAACTGATTATAGTTCTTATCCTCTATAAACAAGAGAATATATATATATATATGGAAAACATGGATATGATAAATAGAAAAATGGAATATAAGAAACACAGATTGGCATCAAGTTTATCCAATCAAAGTAGTGATTGAAAATAAAAAAGACCCCATTAGAGTTGGATGTAGGATCATGTCATTCTCAAAAAAGGCGTACAAGGATGTTTGTTATGAGTTGTTTAGTGGCCTCTTTTCACAAAATGCATGCATGTGGCCCTCCCCATCCTCTTAATTCCCATCCATATTTTGTCCAAAAGTGCCCAAGAACCTTCATACGACCCCCCTTCCCATGTGACATTGATATGGGTGGGTATCAATGAAATGCACATATCACATAATAAAGTGTCCAAAACAAAACTTGATTTTCTTTCTTTTTTTGATGTTTTCACTCTTAACAACAGTAGTATTCATATGCATTATCTTAATCGATACGTAAAATCGCTCACTATCCACCAGACAGGTTTGCGATTAAATCAAGTGCTTGCAAACATTACGTTTTCTTTCTTTTGTTTGGTAGCAAGGATAAACTTTTCTTGGTCGGTTTCTTCAGGTACGCGTTGGATTAGTTGATGTGTGCAAAAAGCAGCTCGTACACCCACAATTAGTCGATTACCCAAAAAAGTTGTAACGGCTCAGACTCGTGTATCTATTAGAAGTAGCAACTGTGGTATATTTTAGATCTGGTTGATTTACCAGTATGTTATAACTTTAGTTAAAAGACGAATATAGTCATGTCTGTTCTTAAAAATATGATTTTAGTAAAAACTATTGGTTCAAACTTTTTAGTTCTAGCTAATAAATCAATAATACAACTAGGCGTGCATAGAAAAAAGTATTAGCCAATAGAAAACTAAAGAAAGGAATGGAATTATACTAAACCGTGTTGAAACCGATTGGGTTAATTCTTTGGACCTTGATGTGTCTCACATTCTCCTTCTCTATTCTCGTATCTCAAGTACTTGAACTTGTTGTATCGCTTGACTGATTCGTCACACACTCCTATCGCTTGGCCCAAAGCTCTAAAATTGTGAACTATAAGTCTCTTGTGGTGTTTGATTTGTTGGAATCATTGAAGGAATTAGAATGATCGATTCCATTAATGCGTTTGGTTCATTTTCTGAGTTCTAGCAAGGAATTCGAATTCCACATATGGTGGAATATAAATTCTTTGGGTTCTATATCATGGGATTCCAATTCCTTCATCTTTTAGGAAAAACTATTATGAAATATAAGTTATATATCGGATTTCCAGATATAGAAATATGATGAAGATGCTTCATCGGATACAAAGAGACTTGGAATAAATTATGGATGTATGAATCTTTAAGCTTTAAGTGACCAATAAGAAAGTCTTTCGGACATCCTTGATCGGATGGTTAAAATCTTAAAGATGACAGAGTTGGTTTCACAATCTATACAAGAGGATCTAATGAATGAGTTACATGTGAGATCTAAAGCTTGAGATTCAGATATTACTACATTGAGACTATATTCGATGGGTGAAACAAGAAATTATTTTTTAAGTGTTTGATCAGATACTATGAGTATTATTTATAAATCTGATGGTTTGATTGTTGTCTCCCTTCTTCAAGCCATGCCTCCCCTACAATTTGACATATCAAGAGTTATTTAATTATTTATTTTAAAACCAAAGAATCCTCCATTTATTATCTATTTTCACAAAAGTAAATGTGAAAATGAAGTATGTTTATGGAATACATTTGTTTTTTTTATTAATCTGGATATCCAATCCGCTATGCGAGCCGACTAATCCCAGGACAACCACCTGCTTTGCAGATTACCCGGAGTCACCGCATTTGAACCTCTGTGGCCACAATTTACAATTCTCGTCAAAGACTCACATACCGCTAGGTCAAAATCCCTTTGATAAAGATTCACATATCGTTAAGGTGAGAATTGTAAATTTTGCTAAGAAGTTTGACGGGTTTATCTAAGGGATTTTGACCTAGCGGTATGTGAGTCTTTGACCTTTTAGAAGGTCAAGGATTCAAAGTTCACCAAAAATGAGGAGAGTATGCAAGTTTATTTATTCTATTTGTCGTATATAAATATTATATGCTAAAAAAAAGTTTGATGGGTTGTTAAATCATTGTATGAAATTGAATTAAAATGAAGAAAATAATCAAACTCATCAAGATTATGATATTTGAAATCAATTTACGGGATGAAATCTATTGAAAAGGATGGAATGGAAATATTTAAGCTTCGGTCTCAGAAACTTAAGCAAAAAAAAGGTGATCAGAGTGTGTTTACGATTTTGTTGTGATACATATTATATTATGTAATTTCTAGATGATATACATGAACAACCATGCTAGGATTCATGATTATTGCATATTGGATTTAAATATCTATTAATGCATTGTTTTATATGTCACTGGAAATTCAGTCGATGAAAACAAGTAATTTATGACCGGAAATAGAATCCTTAGGGGCTGTTTGGTTCATGGATTTGGATAGAATTGAAAGAAATTGGAATGGTCAAATCCTTTGACCAAATTCCAAATACAATGTTTGATCCATGAAATAAAATTGATGGAATCCTTTCAATTCCAATAAATTCTTTCACTCACAGATTTTACATTACACGGCAATACCCTCGGATTTTAATTCATTTCCAACATATTCATTCCCTAATCCAAATTCATTCAACGTTGCGTCTACCATCTCATCTAACTGATCTCTGGTTCGATCTCCATCTGGTACGCTCTAACTCACTCTTTCTTTCTCTCTCTTTCTCTCTCTCTCTCTCTCTCTCTCTTTCTCTCTCTCTCGTAATTTCTCCATCTATATGAGATCGATAGACAACATATGTAATCAAGGAATCGATTCAAGATAACTAGTTATCGATATCACTAGTCCAATTCCGTTATTCAAAAATCATAAAAGGTCATTTGTTGATATTTAATTTCGATTCTAAAGTTGAATTCCGTGAACCAAACAAAAAAAATCCAATCCGTTATTAAGAATTACATTTCAATTCTATGCAACCAAACGCAATCACAAGGCATGATCAAATTCCATCAAATTCCATTTCATTCCCTCATAGTCAAATTCATTTGATGAATTCCAATTCCATCGAATTCCATTCTAGGAACCAAATGGCCCCTTAGAGTTGACATTGTGAAAGGATGGTAGATACGAGGTTCAACGGACATAAATCCAATCGGGTTATTTATGACCGAGAAATCTGAACCATTGGAGTTGATACCGTGAAAGGACGGTGGATGCACGGTTCAACAATAAATATACCTAGGCGGTATAACTGTGGCAAGGGGTTGTAAAAAAATAATCCCTGTCCCTTGATGAAGGGTTCCGAAAATAGGACGGAGACGTGATATGCGATACCCGTGGTGCATACCAAAATTGAAATTGGCATATACGTGTGCATAATATTATGAAATTGGCATACATACATTTATATGATGGTTTTTATTTGTTTTCATGTTAAAACGTGTGATCACACGACTTTAATTGCTTAAAAAAGTAACTTGTATTGCAAGTTAGTTGTCGAGGCTTATCTCGAGCCTAGAATGGAAGGAGATGTTTTGTAAAGTTAATCTGAAAGCAACAACTCTAGCGTTTTGGTTCTTGCCTAGTAGGTGGTTAATATATAATGATTGAAACAAGTTAATCATTGTTAATTAAATTTATCCGTTGTAATTGCACGACTCTGTTCTTGAAGGCGTTTAAAAGAAAATGTTTTCGCTTTTGATATGGTATTTATGAACAATTTTTTTACAAAACAACTTATTGACTTATTTCGGTGTGACACCGGTAATAAACATTTTTGAGTGTCTGGATAAATAGCTTATACCGGTGTCAAACCGGTAATAATAAGTTTTTGAAGAAGTTAAAATTTTCTAACTTGTAATAAGTTGATAAGAACTTTTATATAAAAACATAGTTGTTTCAAATAAGCAATCTTATCTCCTTAATCTCTAACAAAAGAAAAGGAGAGGAATGTTAAAATAAAAAGAAAAACAGAAAATGTTTAAAATGACTAAAATAACCCTTATTTAAATTGGATTTAACGAAAAAATCAACGACCGTTAAAAAGAGAGACCAAAACCAATATAGAATGACAAATGTGAGGGACCGAATCCAAAATTTAAAAGTTTAGGGACCATATCCGCTAAAAATGGCAAACATTAGTGACCAAAAAGTAAACTTTACTCTATTTATATGTGTTTTCTAAAATAATTGATAGAAAGAAAAGAGAGAACGTAGAACTCTTTCAGAAGATGGAGGTGCAGTTGTCATTTACGCACAATCTTAGGGGGTTTAGATTGAATCAACTGAAACCACCGGAAATTCTGTAACTTCGATCAAATTCGTTTGCAACATATTCACCGGTGTTTAGGAGCTGTTCGTCGGTAAGAAAGACAACTGATCGGAAATAAACATGGGACTGAATATCGGAGGGGTCGTAGAGAAGGTGAATGGTCATGAACTAAGTTACAGTACTTTTGTAGAGAAATACTTATCGAAGAACGAACCCGTTGTTATAACTGGATTCATGGACGATTGGAGAGCTTGTAGAGATTGGGTTTTTGATGATGGAAGACCCAATCTCCAGTTCATCTCTTCTAATTTCGGTGATTCGAAAGTTCAGGTGCCTTGATTCCCCCCCCC